CGGCAGGATCCCTGATATGGGCACAAATAATTTCAAAATGCTTGCGGATATCCGCTGTAAATATCCGGATACGTATACCAAAATCCATGACATTACCTGAATTTCTCTATAAACTACCCACACTTCTAAGAACACAATTAAGCCTAAAAAAGGAATTTCAAACAAGCCTCTTAAAAAATAAAAGCATCGGGTTTTTTTAGTTTTTGAGTTCCTTCTTTCATTTTATTTTTTCTCTCTAGAGGCTATCCAAATGAGAAAAGATGCCATTAATTTTGATGGAAAGGAAAGGGAAAAAAGGAAACTTTTTGGAATTTATTTGTGAATATTTTTTTAATAAAATGAAACAAAAATATTAAAGAAAAATTTTTTTTTTGAAATTTAGAATAAATTGGGGATAATAAATTAATAAATTATGTTAATAGAAAAATAAATTGAAAATTATTCCCCAAAGGAATAAATGTATTATAGCTATATATTAATAATTTTGTTTTACCAAAAGTATAACATAAATTAAAAATAATTAAAAAAGAGAGAGAATTTATAATTACAGGAAATACTCTAAAAACTCTCTAAATAAACTCTAAAAATTATTTTTATTTAATACCTCCACCTCCCCCAAACCTATTTGAATCCCAAATAAAATTTCCTTGACTATTCCGAGTAAAAAAGAAAAATAGAATGAAAGGACACTCAATGAGAGGAAATAGGATTCAAATAGGGAAGGATCAATAGGGGATAGGAATAATAGGGGATAAAAAAGGTACCAAAATTTTTGATAAAAAATTTTCGTATCGAGTTCTCGAAGCAGCTAAAGGTTTTTTTTAATTTTTAGGGGTAAGCTTGCCTTCCTTTCGAGGAGAATTACTCTCTTCCTTCGATTTTTCCTTCCGTCAGGAAAATCTTCATTCTCCCTCTTTCCTCTAAATATTTTTTGTATTTTTAGAGTTTATTAGAGAAAGAAAATATTGGGAAGTATAACAAAAAAATAAGAAAATAGTTTGTGAATAAATGAAAAAAAAACTTTATTTTTTGTGAATGTCAGCAAAATTAGTTAAATACATAAGTAGTAAAACTATTTTTAGATTTATAAGAAGAAAAAAGGCTTTCCGACCAAAGAATTTTAGAAAAAATAATTTTTTTTTCTTGTGCATTCTACCAAAATTAAATATTTAATTTTAATAATTAATTATTTTTTAAATATTTAATTTTGTGTGGAATTTATTTTAAAGAAAATTGTTTAAAAAATTACTAAAATTATTTAATTAATTTAATAGAGTCTTAAATTCCCTTAATTTCTCTAATTTTAATTAAGCAAATATTTATTAAAAAAATAAGAGGGAACACAAGTGCTGGATATGTCCGGGAACTAATTACGGAGTAGAGGAGGGTCGGAAAACGAAGGTACCAAAAATCAGAACTCTCGGAAATGGCTCAAAAGTCGGAACTTGGAAATCGGAAACCAATCTAAATTTATGGAAATCGGAAATGGCTGAAGAGTCGGAACTTGGAAACCAGCCTAAATTTATGGAACTTGGAACTCAGACCCACCTCTGCTACGGAGCCGGCTCCAAAGCCAGGATTTGAAAATGGTTGGAGCCACAAAACGTCCAATACCCAGCACTACACCACACTCAATTTGGTCTGTTCTAATGTCCAAGTTTTCGAGTTTTGGACTCTCGAAAAAATAATTTTTTGAAAAATAATTCCCTAAATACATACTTATATTTTCCTCAATATTTTTAAAGAATTTTCTTTTTTTCCCTCAATTTTTCCTTCAAATAACTAACCGGCTGACTGACAATAAACAGAAAAAGAGGAAATTAGAATGGAAATATTCTGACGGCTGGAAAGGTATTTATTTAATGGTAGGGCTAGGCACACATACTAGAGTAGTATATTTACTGTTCTCTTTTCTTCTTCTGTTCTTTTAAAGAGGCGGTAAAATAGAAAAGAGAAGGAAAGCGGCTGGCGCTTTTTAATGTCATCAACACATACACTCTCTTCTTTTTTATTTTTCTCTAACTTGTATTTAAATGTAAAATGCTCGCGTGCCTGCACATTAATAGCTTTAAAATTAAAATAAAATGCCAGTTGAGTCATAAAACTTTAATAAATACTTTTTGTTGTAAACTTTTGGAAATTTTTAAAGAAATTTATGAATAATATAGTAGCTTTTTTTAGTTTTTTGTTTAGCTGATAATCCGGGGAAATAGGGGTTCTTTTTCCTACCTCCACTAGGGGTGAGAGCATTGCGTTATTTGCGTTGATTTTAGGCCTTGTGTTGCGTTTTGCGTTTTTCACTATTCCCTTTTGCGCTCACCCCTGCTGTCCACACCCCCCCCCCCTCCAACGAACTTTTAACTTTTGAAACTACCTGGAACCGAGGCCGCTCACTTTTTGTAACAAGGACATCACTAGCCGCTGAAAATTGTCTGGTATTTAAATACAAATGATTGGCAAAATTTTCTAAATTTACATTTTCAAAAAAAGTTTTGAAAATTTTTTTATTTTTACAAACCTGGATTTGTTTGTTACTCAAATGACTTGGTAAATTTTGAGTTGAATGAGAGACGTTAGAGATGAAAATAAAATAAATATTAAATAAAATTTATAAATAAAAGTGCAATTATTTTAGAGAAATTAAAAATATAAATTTATTTTAAAATTAAAGAGGGGAAGGGGGGGAGGGAGAGGGGGGGGTGATTTTAAAATATTATCTCGAGTTTTTATGAGTTTCTGATTATTTCTGTTTGCCCTGCACTTGCAGAAAGAATATTGCTTCGATTTTGGTTCAATCTATGATGGTTTCTATTTTACCTCCCATTCAATGAATAAACTTAATAATTCCTTAGGGCTCGTCCAGACGTTCTTAAAGATACTTGATTTTGCCTATAGGCTCGGAAAATAAAAGAAAAAATTAAATTACAGTATCAATCCCCCTCAAAGACGATAAAAAGGGAAATTTTGAAGAAAATTTTTAAATAAATTTACCCAAAATTTATTTTTATTTTTCCTATTTTCTTATCTAAAATTTAAACAAAAAAAATTTTTTCCAAAGTACTTTTAGCTAGGACAAACATCACAAATAAATTTTCTAATATATTAAAGTAGAGAAAGAAACAGACACATTAAACGAGAGAGGAGACAATATACAGGACTAACCAAAGAGAATTGACTGAAAAAAGAAAGGGAGACAAACACCCCACACAGAGTATTTTTCTTCTTCCAAAAATTGCTTTTATCTCTCTCAATATACACAAAACATTTTTATTTTTATTTTTAAAAAAATAGTATTGAAGGTAGACAAAAATGAAGAAATAGAATGTTAAAAAGAGAGAGTGTTAGAGAAAAAAAGAAAAATGGGAAATAAAAGAAAAATAACACCATGGGAGATGAAAAAAAAATAAAAAAGAAGAATAAATAAATGGGAAAGAAAAAAAATTTTTTTTGAAGAAAAAAGGGACTTTTTTTATTTAATTTTTGAACATTAAAGATCTAACAAATATAATTTAAAAAATATTCCTAACTCTTTAACTAAAATTTTTAAATGTTTTAAAATAAAATAAAAAAATTTTTAGGATTTTAGTTTGCTGATAAAATAATTTTAAATTAAAAAAATTTTTTGTCGTAAAAGGGTCAGACGACTATATTTTTCAAAATGGTCAATGTAAAAATGGTTAGAGAATAATGAGATTTAATTTTACGAAATATGATGTACCATGGGATGTTACGGGTTACCCGATACCCTAAACCCGGTGTTTTTTTCTGCCCGATACCCGACAGGAGAAATTTTCTTTTTCAAAACCCCGTCCCGAAACCCAACACTTTTCTTAACAGTGATCTCCCTGGTATGTACGTGCTTAAATTAAGGATGTCGGTTCGGAAGCAAAGCGAACCGAAGGATAGAGGATTTGTAGGTTCGGTTCCGGATATTCGAAGATTTTTCATTCGAAGATTTTTCAAAAAGGAGAAAGTTTATTCAAAAATAAAAATTTTTTATTAAATTCTAATCAATAAATTAAAAACAACCCGTTTTGTTGACCTTTGAGGGAAACCTTTAAAAGACTAAAACAGAGAAATAAAAAATAAAAAATATTAGGGAAAATAGTCGAACAGAGAAAATAAAGAGAATAATTTATTTAAATAAAAGTAGAGAGAGAGTGTGTGGAAATAAGAGAGACATTTCCCCTCTTTTATTTAATAAACACACAAACGCCGTCTCACCACTGTCTCTGTCATTTATTTAACAACAGTAGAAGAGAGAAGAGAAAATAACCGTGCCAGCTGGTTGCTTTGGAATGAAAAGAGGGGAAGGTTAGAGACGGAGAGAAGGAAAGCAAAAATAAAGTCAATAAGGGAAATAAATATAAAAGTAATTTTATCCGCAAAAATATTTGCGGATATCCGCAAAAGTTTTTTAAAATGTAAAAATATTTGCGGATTAATTACAACCTTTTGATGAGTTTTTAAATAATTTTAAATAGATATCCCTAAATGTCCAGATAAATACCCACAAATCACCAGTTTTTGTCTCTAGACGTCCTCAAAAATATCATGATGTAAAAGGAATACTAAAATGTAGTGAGCGGAAAAACAGATTTTTCCGGATCTGGATCCGGATTTGCAACTTGAGCCGGGCCTGATCCGGCCGAATTTTTCCGGATTAATCCGGTCCGGAAAAAATCCGGTGATCACGAAAAAACCCGGATTAGGGATCCGGACTCTGGAAAATCCGGCCGGATCCTGTCCGGTTCCGCTCACTACTAAAATGGGTAATAAACGAAATAAAAAATGGGAGTAATAAAAACGGGAGTTAAAAAGGATGAGTAATTTTAAAAAATGGGAGTCACCCTGATAACGAAGATTTTTTACCTTAAATTTTGCTTTTTTTAAACAAATATGAAACCATTTTTCTCAAGTTCCGGTCTAAAATTAATTATTTAAAAAGGGGCTACTCCACCCCAGAAAATTATCATTTTAAAAATTAAAAAACACAAAAAATGTCCATTAAAAATAATTTAGCCTTCCCTCTAATTTTATTTTTCTCCATTTATTTATTTTTCTTTCTAAATTGGAATTTTGTTGAATCGAAAAATTTGGAAAGCCGAAAACTTGATATTTTAAAAATGAAAAAAATTTTAAGCAAAGGAGCACAGAAATTTAATTTTAATAAAACAGAGAAGAGAATTTCGAGAAAAAATAATGAAGAGGAGGGATTTTTTGTTGATTTTGCGTTAGCTATCTATAAGCACACGTATACTATCGAGGATTATGATTACTCTTTTGTTTGGGATTTTTGTTATGATGAAGAAAAACATTTTAAAAGTTATTGCAATTTGGATTTGATGAGTAAACCAATTAATGCAACATTTGATGTAAGTTAACCTGCGAAACACTATGTAAAGCAGCTGGACTATAGCTATTACTCTCCTTTAGCTAGTGCAAAAGGTTAATCGGCGGCGGGTACAGCCCAACGTACAGCGAGGCCAACCGCAGAGCTATAACTTCGTTCAAATGGTCAAATCCGGGACGCCCCGATATGGTTCGATTCAGCTCGCCGAGATGCATTGAACCATACCAAGACGTCCCGGATTCGACCATATTGAACGAAGTTATAGCTCTGCGGTACGTTGGGCTCGCGGTACGTTGGCCTGCTCCCATCGGCGGCTGGGAGCGAACCAGCATCTTCAGTAGACCAGACTGACTTCCATTACACCACGCCGCCTACTGCACAGCCTTAGGAATTAAATAGTATACACAATAAGAGGGTCAACTTTATTTACAATACCCTTTTTAAATTTGGTTAGCCTTTGGATGGGTGGGGGGACAGCTACTAGGGCTTTGCTTCACCTTCTTTTTTAACAAATACTTAAAGCCTAATGAGCGTCTTAAATTATAGCTCTAAAGACTCCCTTGTTCCTTACAAATTTTTTAATCCCGTTCTAAAAATAAATTCAATTTAACCGGTAAAATTAAATTTGGACTGAAATTAAGTAAATTCTTGATTCGCCTTCGATTTAAGGAACCCCTCGAACCAATAAACTTTTTCTTTTGTGTCGATAGTGTTGTATAATCAAGATTCAAATGTTTAAAAATTAAGGAGCAAAAATTGAATAAAATTGTTATTTTTGTTGATCAAGTCGTTGATAGTAAAGGAGAGAGAATTATAAATGTTGGAAATAATACGGAAATCGTTCTTTATCATTCGTATGAAGATGGAGTTATAAAAGGAAATGTTAAGAATATTGAAAAAATTGCAAAAGCCTTAAATGCTCAAATTAATGATGATGAAAATATTTATTATTTAAATGAAAGATGTAGTGAGATTAAATCAGAAGAAGCCCCATCAATTGGTTTAAAATTTAAAAATTCCAATACAACAATTAATGTTTCTGGAAACGATATAGGAAACTATAATGTAAGAAAAATTATATTTCTTTTAATAAAGACCCTTGGGGCTTTATTATAAGAATTTAACTATCCTCCAATATGCACCGAAATCTTAGAAAATACGGTATTCATCGGAATAACATAGGTAGTGTTATTCCGATGATATATATATTTTATACTATATATATTTTATACTTCAATCATTATAACTAAATTTAAAAATCAACAAAAACTTATTTAATATTTTGGATTTTTTAAAGTATGAAGATAAATGTGTACTTGGACTGAAAATTGATGAAGAAAATCAATTAAAATTTTCATCACAAATTTTCACTAATTATTGTGTTTTATTTGATACCTATTTGAATCAAATAGCTTTTGCACCAAAAGTTGTAGAGCCGAAAGATATGGAGTGGATTTTTTGCAATAAGTGAAAAAAAAGATTTTAAAGAGACTAAAAGAAAGTCTAGAAAAATTCTTAATTAATTTATTTTCAAAAGTATAAAGTATAAAGTAAAATTGAATTTAAACTGAAATCAAGAGACGTATTTAATAGACGCTTGTTGAATAATTAGGGTTCCTTTTACGGGTTCTTAGTAGAGTTGATCAAGACGAGACCGATACCGAGATTCTCGGCTTTTTTCCAATATCGGTCTCGGTTTTATCATTCTCGGTCTCGAAACCGATACCGATATTCTCGGTCCATTTCTCGGCGAGAAACGATACTGACTCAAAGAACCAAAATTATCAATATTATCCAAGTTTTTGTCCATAATTTTTTTCGGATATCCGTCCATAACAGAGAAAGTGAATTTTTTTCGAATAAGGTCTTCTAAAATTCAAAAATTCCTTTGCCAAGCCAGATCGGATCCAGATGATGAAGAGTATTTATCTGATGATTTGGATGATGAAAATAATGAATAAATTATTTTTACACGTATTTTTTGACGTAAAATAAAATTTTCTCTTAGTCTCGGTCAGTATCGTTTCTCGGTATCGGTCTCGGCTCAAAATGATGGTATCGGTCTCGGTATCGGGTTCTTGAGTATCGGTCAATCTCGGTCTCGGGTTGGCCGATACCAGTATCGTTTTGATCAACTCTAGTTCTTAGGACACCCTCGCTCCCGAAATTTGTGGGTAATATTGAGAATTAGTGTACTTAAATCCTCGAAATATGTTCAACCAGACATTTTTATTTTTCAAATTTTATTTTACTACATCCAAATTTAAGTATAAAAATTATTTTGTTTAGTATATTTATTTTCCCAATAAATTCTTATACATACTATTACCAATTTTTATTTCTAATTTCTTTTACTAAAGAATTCTTTAACAAGTAAAATGTTAAAGAATAAATTTTTGGGGGAAATGAATGGGAAAAAATGTTAGGGGGGACATAAAATAGAGGAGAGAATGGCTGTTTTAGTTAATGCGGTGTGAAGGATGTTGAAGGGGGTTGTTCTGGCGCTTACCTAAAAAATTTGGAAATAATAAAATTTTCTGTTTGGATTTCTAAAGAGCTTATTAAAATTTTCAAATATAAAAAATGAATAAATGTAAAAAGATACAAATATTAGAAGTGGCTAGAGCGCGATCTGGATCTGGATCCAGACCTTGATTTTTCCTGGATCCAGAGTTCAGATCAAGGCATTTTTCCAGAGTTCCTTGACTTTTCCTTGATTTTTCTTGACTCAAGGTCCTTGATCTGGTCAAGGTACTCAACCGAAATCAAGGTTAAGGTTTGTTGAAAATCTCGTTCTCTAGAGGTTGCATTGATTGGGGAGACGTTAAATCGAAATTCAGTGGAGGTTTAATAAATTATTTATTAAATTTAAAGATTATTTGGAAGTATTTTTTGAAAAAAACATTTTTGGATTTAAAGAGAGGCTAAAATAAATGCTCAATTAATTTATAGTACAACGTCGTAACAGTCTCAGGCCTTGTTTAATGTAAAATAAAAAAATGAGAAAATAGACAAATAAACACAAACATAAAATAGACATTAAGTACATACTACATACAGTCGTGGAAAAAAGTATGGAAGCGCTAGAAAATTTTTTCTTAATTCTTAATTTTTCATTCAAAAAATACGTTCTATATACCAATCGAAAGCTCTATTAGTATCTCAGTTGACATGTTTCTGCATTTTTCATGAAAATGAAAATTGGCCGAGATAATCCGGATCTACCGGATATACCAAATCCCATTTTTTCGGAAAAATTTTTCGGAACAAATTTAACAAACCCAAATGATAAAGCATATTTTTCTGAGTATTTTCCACAAAACCGCTTAGAAATATCTTTTTTCGGAGCAGAGATATGATTTTTTGAAAATCGCATTTTTCCCTTAAAAATCGAATTTTTTGCAAAAAATGACCAAAAATACGATTTTCAAAAAATTATATCTCTGTTCCGGACAAAGATATTTCTAAGCGGTTTTGTGGAAAATACTCAGAAAAATATGCTTTATCATTTGGGTTTGTTAAATTTGTTCCGAAAAATTTTTCCGAAAAAATGGGATTTGGTATATCCGGTAGATCCGGATTATCTCGGCCAATTTTCATTTTCATGAAAAATGCAGAAACATGTCAACTGAGATATGAATAGAGCTTTCGATTGGTATATAGAACGTATTTTTTGAATGAAAAATTAAGAATTAAGAAAAAATTTTCTAGCGCTTCCATACTTTTTTCCACGACTGTATTTGTCTTTTAACTAAAAGTGCAGAAACGAAGAAAAATTGAGAATAAATATAAAATCAAGAGAAAATACAAAAGCAACCTTCGAAAAATCGGAAAACCCAAAAACTAAAGGTGTGAATTGGTCAATAATTAGGGTTAATTAATGATTGAGTAGCCGCAAAGCTAAAACCAAAAACTAAAACCTGAAATGCAAACCGTACGTTTTCTGTTTTTTTAATTAGTATTCGTTTGCATAAGAAAATTAAAAAGTAGCATAAAAATTGAGTGATGAGCTAGCTGAACAACTTTTAAATTTTAAGTAAACCAGCCCCAAAATTTAAAGCCTATAAATCCAAAAAAATCCCAGCTTTTACGGTATTCTGGATTTTAACCCAAATTTTAAAACCCGGTTTTTGGTTTTGAGTTTTAGGCAAATACCGGTTTTATTTTGGGGGAATTTTTAATAAAATCACTCGTTTTCAGAAGTTTTCGGTTTTCATTTTTTGTAGAAACGGCTAATTTTTGGCAAAAAAATATTAAAAATTTCGGTTTTAAAACCGATCGTGAACAATACTATCGAGAACCCTGCGAAAGATTGTTCGAAAAACACTATATTTATAAATTTATTAGACGAATCTCGAAATATTTTAAATAATATTAAATATTTATTTTATTACTATCAAAAAAATAAAAAATAGTAAAAATAAAATTTTCCAAATGTTAGCAGATGGCATTAGACACATAATAAATAAAAAATAATTTTTTTTTTATTTCCAATGCCATTTAGGTTTTTAAAGATTTTTCTGAGTAAATTACCGCAAAATAAAAAAAATTTATTTTGTAAATTAAAAAAAAGTTTTGAAAGAAAAATAAAAAAAAGATGGGGTTTTTTATATCTATTATTACCTCAAACAAGAAAAAATTGTTTTTTGGCAGATGTTTTTTGAAGGAAAAATTTTTTTGATTTTTTATTGCGCAGTATATAAAGTTGGAAATACAAGGATTTATAAGTAAGGATATCTAAATTTTAAAATAAATTAAAATAATGTTAATTATATTTATTATTCAATTTATTTTTTATAAAGTTGATGGAGAATCTAAATTTGTTAGTAATGAAATGATTGAAGAAGGTGATTAAATAATTAAGATTTTTTGTAGGGAGGGATAAACGATTTCTTATATCTTGGCCAAAATAAGTGAAAAAGTTGTGTAAAAACTTAGTCGTCGGCAGTGTTTGAAAGCTCGTACCAATACTCGTAGCTGTGTATGAGCAATTTTCAAAATTTCAAACACTGGTCGTCGACAAACATCGACCTGCAAGGTCTTGGCACTTATTATTAACTGGAGCTTTCGCTCATTACGTGAACAACCTCAAAGCTACCGGGAACAGAGACTAGCTTCCATTTTTTCCTTTAATAGATCTTAAACCTCTGCCTTGTATAAGCATTTAAATATTAGCCAGCTAAATTCTCATAAAATAAATTAAATTTTCCCGTTTGTTCCTCCATTTATCGCCTCCCATATTTTTTTTGAATATTTTAGTCCATTTTTTGATTAAAATATTTTTTAATTTAATTTTAATAATTTAAATAAAAAGGTATATTAAATTGTTGTAACAATAAATGGTCAAATTGTTGTCGTGAACGATTAAAGGAAGATAAACATTTAATTTGTTTGGGGCTTAAAAATGAATTCGCAATAAAAATGGGAATTTGTTTAGAAAAATATTTTTATGGAAATAATTCTATTATTGAAAGAAGAGGTAATTTATATTTTAATTATTTAATGTTTAAATTAATTGTTAAAAATAAGAGAGATATACTTAGATATAGCTGTTTAGCCAACAAATTCTGCAACCCAAATAATTTTTTTATTATTTTTAAAATTTCGGATCTCATTGTAAGTAAATTCTTGGGTCTGAAGGTTCTTAAAATGAGATATATCTTAAATAGAAGCGTCAACCAGTGTTGGAGAAATTCCAAAATTTCTCTGGAATCGGTTCAAGTTCTTGAACTGCTTTTTGGATTTCTTTATTTCCGGTTCTGGAACTGGAACTTCTCCATAACTGTCTGTTTCTAATTATAAACTAACTTTTTTTAAACTAAGTTGAAGATTCGGTGGGTTGAGCGAATCTTCAACTTGGTTTAAAAAAAGTATCCAAAATCAGTGGTTTATCTAGTATTGGGGCTATTTTGAGACCCGATTATAATCTAATTTTGAAGAATTAATTAATAAAAAAATAAATTTAAATTAAAAAAAGTTTATAATTGTTGTTGGCAACTTTCTGGAGAAAAATGCCGTCAAAATTGTTATAATTATTTACGTGCCCCAACAATGCCTCCGGAACAAAAATTTACTTTTACTGATGAATGTTTTGTTAATAAGACAATTAAAAATGA